GGCTCTGCAGAGAGCAATGAGTCTGACACAGGGCTCGAACTTCACGAACTGTGAGATCATGACCTGAGCCAAAGTTGGATGCTCAACCAACTGAGCCACCCAGGTGTCCCTAAATGTCATCTTTTAAATCTCAATGGCAAAGAGGCACAGAATATAAAAACTAATGAGCATACAGTTTTCAAAACCATGCAAAGATGGCACATGCTAATGTCAAGATTCTGATAATATGTACATATGCTTATAAGTAAAACTCTCAGGGTAAGTTTATGACTAAATGAGGAATTAGTCTGGTTAACATCTATTTAGTATATAAGAAGCTGAAGAATGGTGACACTATATTCTGGAGCTAAGATTACCATCGGAAGTAATGTACTAGTGAATTCAAAGCAGAAAAGATAAGGTTAGCTTGCCGAAGGAAAGCAGGAAGAATCAAACAGAATTTACTAAGTCTTGCCAATGTGGAAAAGACACAGCCCAGTTAATGTTATAGGCATCTATAAAAACGAATGTATCAACGGATGGTATAGAGGAAGTCCAAAGGACCCAGACGGTTTCAGGGTCATTCTAGCACTGTTTGAGGAAGAGTGTGCCTTCCTGGATGCCGTAGGTTACTACAGTTCAGCGACACTGGTTATCAAGATCATAACATCAACTCTTTGTTATTATTGGCTCAAAATTTTCTATTTATAATTTGACTATCCATATATAGATTTTCTCAAAAAGTGGGGGATGTGATGATCATCTTGATACAAGGAATTAGTTCTATACTCTGCCACTGACTTGGGCATCAGGGATTTGAGTCAGAAACATGGCTCTGCCCTTTGCTGCTGTCACCTGCAGCAGGAACACACTCCTGATCAAGAAAGTTCACATGACGTTTCTGGCTCTGAAAGATTAAGGTCAAGATGAAGTAAATTCTGTTCTAGGAAATCCCGCCTGAGAGGTCAGCTTCTCCCTATCTCACTATTTTGATGCAGAAACCTTTCAGGATCACGAAAGGGTGAGTTTGCTTTTATATACATTACATATGATTCAGAAATTGCTATAAAGCAGAAGCTATAGAGATAAACTGAATAAGCAGTGACCCCACGACAAAACTGAGCTTATTTCAAAAAACTAAACTCTAATACATATTTATTCTCTACTCTTCTAACAAAAGAGGAAAGCAGAAAAGGAAACCAGTCAATCAAATACTCAGTTACTGGTAATAAATACTGATTTCATTCTGATATCTTAACTAATAATTTTCTAATAACCATTGCCAGGTAGCTGGGGTTCATTTATTTTTATCTCAACAACTTGTGACTAAGGATCATTAAAGATATATGGTAAAATGCTTAGTTTAAGGCCTTATTTCTGCTACACCCAATTTTAAGTCAAGAGAAATTAGATTAAAAACTCAAGTAAAACAAAGGGGAAAAAATACGGATTTTGAGTTTCCTATCAACTTGGTTATACTTTTGTTATAATTAGAGAACTTTTCTGGAAACAGGCATAAATATTTGGTATACTTAAATATATTATTTAATTCTCTCCAGAACTAACTTGTAAAAATAAAAGTGAAGAAAACATTAGGCAGCTTTTCAATTTATTTTAGGTCTTAAATTGAGATAAATAATCAGATACACGACAAAGCAACTTTGGTAGTCGCTGGATGATGCAGACACCTGTGCAGTCGGGGCTGTAAAGGAATTTTTATTAGGCTGATGGAAAACCAGTATTGAATTCAGTTGCTGAATTTCAACCAATTTAAATAAATTAGCTGACCTATAAGTGACGTAACCCTAAATTTCCCAATGCAGCTGCCAGAAATCTATTTTCCAAATGAAACAACAGATGGTTTTGAACAATACTGCAATATAGCAATTTTCAGTTATTCCAAAGTGTTTTTCTCTTGCTAAAATTATAAAAATAATTGAGAAAATAATTTTCAGATTTTTTCTGAAAGATTGCTATTTTCAAAGTGAAAGCAAAGTTTAATATCCTAGTGATGTTTTTAGCATTATCTTCAGAAATTGCTCTATTTGCTAGTTTTTATTTATCTAAAACAACACATGGCAGAGTGTAACCTTGCCCTCATTTTAGAACTAATTTAATACTCTTGCAGTGCTCGCAAGCACTTCAAGATGTATCTTTCCATGTGATAATGTCCAACTCACAGTATGCATTTAGTTAAAAACTTCATCATTCTGGAAGGATGAGACCAACAGGCCAATTAAGCCTGATGTGAAAGATATTTATAACCTATAAACCTCTGTAAATAATTGAAGAACTGTTCGTTTCTTCAAATACCACCATGAACAAAATAAATAAAGTCCATCCCGAATGAGGCTAACCCCAAAAGAAGCTTAACCTTTCAGGTGAAACATCCCAAGTTCCTTAAACTGTTCTTGGCAAATAAATGACTCCGCTTTCTACTCACTGATTTAACTGAGAACATCTGTAAGTCCTCAGCCTTCCTTTTCCAGCTCATTACCTCTCCAGTGCCACACAGGAGAGTCTGGGCTTTGGATCTGGGCTGCCCGGAGTTAGTACTGGCACCATCACTTACGACCGGGGAGATCCCGAGCAGGACAACCTAAAGCCTCTCAATCTCAAATTCCTCACATTCCACCTGCTAACCATACCGACCTGATGGGGCTGCTGTGGACTAAATACACTTAGTGAACACACACAAAGAACTTCCAACATGCCATGTATGAGGTAAGTGCTCAATAAATGTAGCTATTCTTATTATTACTATCATCGCTTCCCTCTTGTCTCGCTCAATGCCTAGGCTGCTCCAAGGTCCAGATCTCTTCCCTGCCTTGCACTCCCTCATTGCCGTACCTTTGCCCTTCATCCACGAACATGCTGGTTCTCTTCCTTGTGAGCGAGCCTTGTGCACAACACAAAGCAAACCAAAACAAAAACATCAGCCAGCATCCTTAATAACTACTTCTCCACTCCTTGCTTTATACAAAACTTATCTTTTAAAACTAGTCTATATTCATTTCCTCCGTTTTGCCACCATTTACTCTTAACTCTCGCAGTTTTACTCCTAAAGCTGCCGTCTGAACAATCACATGATCACAGAATGCAGCAGCCTTCCTCAGTCCTACTTCTCAACCTTCTACAACCAACAGGACCTCCTTCCTTTTTGAAACTTCTGCCTTCTGCGCCACTGCCCCATCCTAAATCTTCCTCCCTGTTTAACGACCACATCTGTACCTCAGCCAGGTTCTTTTCCCACTCCTTCCACAGAAACCCAGATTCCCAAAATTTCTGCCTTCAGTCTTTCAGGCCCTTCTCCCAACCGCTCTACCCCCATGGGACTGCCCCAAACCACAAGGCTGGACCTCCAAATCGCCACCTTTGGTTCAGCCCCTCCCCACTCCAGTCCTGCCTTTCATGATTACTGAAGACGTCCATTGAGTCCTTCCACCAGCACCTCACACTTACCACGTTCTAAAGTCAAATCTGCCAAGTTTTCCTTCTTAATATTTCCACTTTAGTTAATTCATGGCACCATCATTTTTTTAATGGTGGAGGTCAAAACATTTCAATCATCTTTAATCTTCTCTGTCCCTAACAGCTCATAACAGACAGCACAGTGGTTGTATGCATGGGCTCTGGAACTAGACCGTGTGAGTTTGTATCCTGACTTCCCCTCTGTCTGCCAGTGTGACCTTGAGCAAGTCACTTGGCTTCTCTAACTTCAGTGTGGCCCTCATAATATAGCTGTGCAGTTTTCGTGAGAAAATGTAGGTAAGGCCACAGAGGGTTGGCATTTGGCCAGCTATGATGATGAGGACAATGAAAAAGAATCTCAGTGATCTGTTCACACCCTTCTCATTCTTTACAGACTCCTGTCACATCTCACATAGACCTCATCCGTGTTGTCTCAAGTAAATTTCAGAAGGCGAGCCTTTGCTGTAAATGTGTAAGTGCCTCAAATTTTCATTAATCTCAACCGCGACCTAGAACATTTAACATTCTACTTACATTATCAGTGTGCTTTTTCTCTCATAGCATACTAAATAACAATGTAATAAGAATTCAGGAGCTGACCTTATTTGAACCCAATTTCAAGTAACATTCCATAGGCCATGTGGTCAGACATTAAAATCACTCTCAATTCTCAATAATGCAGAGCAGATTATTGATAACAAATTATAAAATCTTTGTTGTCGTTACCCTAACCAAACAACCACCTCACAGTCAGTCACCTGTTCACATTGTCCCCAGGAGCTGAAAAGTAAATTTAGTTTTGGCCTAAGAAAGATGTGACATTATTGGGGCGCCTGGGTGGCGCAGTCGGTTAAGCGTCCGACTTCAGCCAGGTCACGATCTCACGGTCCGTGAGTTCGAGCCCCGCGTCAGGCTCTGGGCTGATGGCTCGGAGCCTGGAGCCTGTTTCCGATTCTGTGTCTCCCTCTCTCTCTGCCCCTCCCCCGTTCATGCTCTGTCTCTGTCTGTCCCATAAATAAATAAAAACGTTGAAAAAAAAAATTAAAAAAAAAAAGAAAGATGTGACATTATTGAAAAAAAAATTCAGAATCATATAATGTACTACAAAGTCAGTATGTTATCTTTTGCTTTGGATCATCAGTGACTCTTTAGCCCTACAATAAAGTAGAACTGATTAAATATTTTTATGAATGTCCGTCTAAATATTTACCACATTTAATTAAATGGGACCATTGCTGGGGTGCCTGGGTGGCTCAATCAGTTAAATGCCCAACTCTTGGTTTCGGCTCAGGTCATGATCTCATGGGATCTTCATGGGTTCTAGCTCTGCATTAAGCTCTGTGCTGATGGTGTGGAGCCTGCTTAGGATTCTCTCTCTCCCTCCCTCTCTCTTTGCCCCTTCCCTGCTCACTCTGTCTCTCAAAGTAAATAATAATAATACAATAAAAAAAATGGGACCATTGCATTGGAAGTAGTTGTCCTAAGAGAAGCATGTTTATGTATTAATTAAATGTCTGTAGTCAGTCACTTTTACAAAGAAAGAGAATTACCGCTAAGGATTGGAGCTCTCTTGTTTCTTCCTCTGCTGCTGAAGCGTGATACGACAGAACCTATAGGGTAAGAAACCAAAGAAAACAGGTTATCCAAGAGAAAACTACCAAATGTAGACTACAATCTCAAGCTCGAGATTCTGCTAAAACTTCCTGGAGAGAGAACTAGACACCTCAGAATGTCAAATCTTGTTTGCTGCTTTTCTTCAACAGAAAGAAAAATCCCAGATTTGACTCAATTGCTTGTTTCAGGAGACCAAAAGGTATACTCTCTCTGTGTTTAGAGAAAGTCTTGTCACTTTTATTCTGACACTGTTGATGTAATGAACACATTATTGATAAGCGATGCTACTGGCTCAAAGTTAGCAGAAAATTTATTTTGTGCTTTTTCCTTTTTGCACTGCTTTTTAGAAAATAATACTGACTTCAGTTATTTTTACTTGTGAGAATTACGAAAAAATCTTTTGCGTAAACTGACACTTAACATTGACATTTGGAAAGCAAGGAGTCTAGAAGAAGCTCTCAGGGGAGGGCTGTAACTACTCTAGAATTTCATAAAGAAAAATGGCATGGCTAGAACATGATGTCACACAGATCAAGATAGGCAGCGCTGCCCATAAATCCATCCAGTAACATCTGGGGCCGTGAGGCACTCAGTGAGGGGACAAAGGGGCCTGGGACCCTGCTTTCAACACCTAACTAGTACACTTTCTCTTACCCTAGTAGAGTTAAACAGACAGGCTTACTATTTTCTCATCACTCAACAGAAGAATCATTAATTTCCATATTCAAAAGTAATGACTTCAAAGTAATAGGATAATATTTTAGACATTCTTTTGAATCAGGGAAGTGGTCATATTTAAAACATCTACCATATTTTTAAAAAAATATTTTTTGAAGTTCATCTTTGACAGAGACAACATAGATTTACTAAAAACCCCAAAGATATTAGCAGGATTGATAAAAAGGTAAGCCATTTTCAGACTTAAATTGATACAGGAATAACATACCATTCTAAGTTTTAAAAAATAAATTTTGTCACACTGGAGATAATAATAACACCTTACTCATACGGTTGTAACGATTAATTTTGTTAATACAGGCCTACCTCTGAGATATAGTGGGTTTATTTCCAGACTATTGCAATAAAGCTAATATTGTAATAAAGGGAGTCAAATGAACTTTTTGGTTTCCCAGTGTACATAAAAGTTATGCTGACACTATGCTATAGTCTATTAAGTGTGCAATAGCATTGCTTCTAAAAAAATATATGATGCCTTATTTCAAAAACACTTTATTGCTAAAAAAAATGGAACCCATCACCTGAGTTTTCAGCAGGTCCTAATGACTGATCACAGATTAGCATAACAAATATAATAATAATGAAAAAGCTTGAACTATTGTAAGAATTACCAAAATGTGACACAGAGACATGAAGTGGGCAAATGCTGTTGGAAAAATGATGCTGATAGATGTGCTCAACATAGGGTTGCCACAAACCTTTAATTTGTAAAAAATGCAGTATCTGTGACAAGCAATAAAACAAAGCACAATAAAATGAGGTATGTCTGTACACGTGAGCATCAGAACACAGAGTAAACATTTGGCAAAGGTTAGCTATTATTATTGTTGTTTTGTTGGTCATTATAATGACCATGGCTTCCAGGTCAAAATAATTCACTGTCCTAAGAAAACCTGAGGGATTGGTGTCCCTAGCTTTTATCCAATGCCTTGTAAGGAAAGGAAAATCTTTTTCAAGGTTAAACTTGTGAGCATCGATAGGACTTCCCATAATGAATTGAAATAAAATAAATGTTTAGACTAAGTAAAAGCCTAGTTACTCATATATTTAACTGAAGTAAAACTATAGTGTTAAAATAGAAATAAATCTCAATCAGGAAAATACTCGAAGATTTTGAACAAAATTATATAATGTCTGGGATTTGCTTCAAAATAATCAATGGATTAAAGTGGAAGAGTGCAGAGAAGTGAGCAAGTGTATGAATGGAATGATATTGGCCAGGGGTCAATAATTATTAAGATGGCTAATGAGTACATGGGCACTCACTAAGCTATTTTAGTATACTTCTGTATATGCTTGCAATTTTTCGTAATAAAACGTTTTTACAAGAAGAGATAATTTCTAATTGATAGCTGGCTTAGATTCAATTCAGTGCAAAACCAAGGGAAGTATAAAAAATTTGATTAAAAATATATGTATATACACACATGCACCCATGTATACATACATATGTATATATGTGTGACACTATATGTACATATATGTATGTGTATAGATGTAATTTGAGGTATATGTGTGCACATATATATACACACATACATATATTTGGGTGTGTGTGTGTGTGTATATATATATATATATATATATGCACCTATACCTACGTGTGTGTATTTCAAAAAAAAATTTTCACTGGCTTATAATCCAAGGTCTCTTATATAATACCATGGCAAAGCTATTCATGTTATATATTCATCATTACTAATACTATCTTGGTTATTAGTAAATTTTTACTTATATATCTTTCTAGCTATTTAGGTTAGGAACTTATTAGAGGATTGGAGGAAACGTTACAGTTTCTAAACATGGATTCCCACTGATCTCAATTACATAGGAGTAGGCAAATATTCAAACATACTTCACGCCACTGTATGAATAAATAGAGATGTTTGCCCTTTTGAAGTCTATTTCCCTAAACTGGGTCTCTGATGTAAGAAATTTCTGGGTTGTGCAAAGTGAACATTTTCAGGTAGTTAGTGAAATACACCTGGAAAGGGCTGGCCCCACTTGGGTAGGGTAATCCTCCTCGGGAGGGAGCCTGCCGAAGGTCAGTGTCCCAGGCCAGTGGGTCACAAGCTGCCTGCACATTCAGAATCACCTGGGGGAAGCTCTGGAATAATGTAGATTCCCAGGCTCTACCCAAGACTTATGAATCAGGGTATTCAGAAGTGGGATCCATACATCTGTAATCTGAAAGAGTTTCCCTTTTCCTCACTTCTGGTTCTCTGAGTGCTTAGGGTTTCTATTTTTGTCTTTCAAAATGTATGAGTACAGCTGTTCACCAGGGGACAGGGATGCTCAGGCACTGGAGCAGGGACAGACAGGCCGCACGGGCAGCAGACATCTGTGTGAATGCATTCTTAAGGTCAGAAGAGTGAAGGGACGAACAGCCTGAGTTTTGGTTTGGTCATGAGACCTTTGATTAGTCTCTAAAATACTCTGGGTCTCCGTTTCCTTAGCTGTTTCCGTGAGGAACTAAGGATTCAGTCTGATTCTCGTGAGGAGACGCTGCTATCACATACAGACCCCACGAGTTGTTTTGGCGGGAAAGGCAGAAGCTGAGTGTGGCTGCAGAGACCGAGAGTCCCACAGTTGTCAGCCCACCTCCAGTGTGACCATTTGCTTGGCCATGGCTCTCTCCACTGCTTCATACATCTGTGTGTTCTGGATCCCCAAGCCACAAAAGATGACGAAAGCCTCCAGAAACTGTTCGTCATTTCGGTTGAAAGGCTTAACCTTGCCAGTATTCTCCTCCATCTTATTTACAAGTTGGCAAACCCCTATAACAATCCAAGAAATTGAGTAAACATTATTATTAATTATTATACGTTTTATTGACTTGAACACCCAGCCCCCGCAAAAAAAGATTATCTTATGCTTTTGTGAATGCTTGGAATCTATCTCCAAAGAAGCAAACGGATCCTCACAAATATAAAAGCTAGAAAAGTAAACCAAGTTAATTTACATGAGAACTTGTTTCACACAGTATGTTGCCTGTGTTCAAAAAAATCCTAGAGTACTATTTTCTTCCAGACGCGGTCACGAATTTTAGATCAGCTGAGTCCCCAAAGACAATTTGTCCTTTGGAAACTAATTGGATTTTTGTATATTTGCCAAGAGAACAATTTTAATGCACATCAGAATTTTGGGTCACACAGACTGCCTTTCCTTACTGAGAAACCAGAAGTTAAAAACTACAGTAACATACAAAACAGAATGTAGAAAACAGGTTAATTCACACAGACCATCTCAAATTTCAAATAAGCACCTCTGTATCCAGGAGAATCATACTTGCAGACAACTTTTGATACTACAAATAAATGCAAATAAAAATGACCATTTAGAAATAAAGGCAGAACTAATCTTTGAAGAAAATCATAATCTCCCAAGTCCTGGCTTCTCTTAGAAAGTCAAACATATAGGGGCACCTGGATGGCTCAGTCAGCTGAGCCTTCGACTTTTGCTCAGGTTATGATCTCAAGGTTCGTGTGTTTGAGCCTCATATCCGGCTCTGGGCCTGGAGCCTGCTATGGATTCTGTGTCTTCCTCTCTCTGCCCTTCCCCCACTCATGCTCTGTCTCTCTGTCCCTCAAAAATAAATAAATGTTTAAAAAATTAAAAAAGAAAAATAAAGTCAAACATGTAGTCAATATAAATGGAAAATTATGTCAACATTGTAAGTCTTTACTGAACTACTTCTATGGGATTCTGAGCCAGCGGCCTCTCTTTGAGGAGTTCAGTGACCTCCCACCTCTGGGTAAAACAAAGTGTTAAGTCCTTATTTCTTCCGTCTCTAAATATTTAATACCAGAGTTCCAGTGTGTGCCTACCATGGGATACGTACTATGCTAAATGCTTCAGTACACACACAATCTCTGGGCCTTAAAATTTACACTGTAAAGTAGATATGACCATCCCCATTTTACAGATGAGAAAACTGAGTCTCAGAAAAGTTAAGTCCTTTGCTCAAGGCCACTTAGCTTCTATGCTCACGTCTAAAATTCAAAGCCCAGCTCTGCCTAGTCCCAAAGGGCACTTTTTACCACACTCCTCTGCTCTGTGCTCTTTGACCTCCTTGAGATCACTGCTGGTGGTTCCCTGACTGTATCTTCTTGCTCACAACGTTGCCTGTGCTTTTCCACCCGCCTCCACTGCTTCCCACTGCTTTCCTTCCGATTAGCCAGCTGACACTCACATCTCCTTCACAGTAGCTCCTGGAGGCCTCCCACCTCCCAGGTGAGGCAGGCAGTACTCTTTCCTATGCCCTTAATCCATTGCTTGGTGTATCACAGCCGATTTCATTTCTGTCCCTCTTTCTAGGCTGTACATAGCCTGGCCTTAGAGATTTTATTTTCTCAGATCCACTTCCTCAGTTAGCAAAATGCCTGGCATATAGCAGGAACTCGAAAAATGTTTACTGAGTTAATGAAAGAATGCAGGACTGCAGCTCTCACCCAAACTACTTTCCCATGAAGACTAGAGTGTGTTATCAGTTACTTTTCCCAGAGCACAAAAGGATTTCATAGAGTCCACAATGATCCATGGTTGCACATTAAGTCCTGTTATCGCCATTGATGTGCAATTTATTCTTAGCCCTGCAAATTCACTGTACTCTCATTTTTGCTCGTTCTGGTTTGTTTGTGGGAGTTTTTCTACTTTAGACAGTAAAGACATCCGTATCTGTCTGTATTAGCACTGCAGGGAATACTTCTCTAACACTTATTCCACTATCAAGGAATACTTTAAGTGAAACATAATGAATTTGGACACTGCAAGAAAAATAGCATTATCTTAAAAGAACATGTCCCGTATATGGTACAATGCAAGGGTTTGGTCCTCCAACCTTTGTGAATCCCCAAATTATAAACGTGGAACTGTTTATCTAGGTTCTGGCTGTCTCCCAAATCACATTTTCTTGAGAGTCACATGTCTCCTGCTTTATCCTCACATCACAACGTAACTGCCTTTCAATTTCTACTAAAGTTGTCTCCTGCTTGACTGGCCACTTTCCATAAACAAGATTTCTCTTTTTACCAGTTTATAAGAATTACTGTATGTATGGAAAGGAAAAGACAACAGGAAGGGGTTGAGATGTGGCTATCAGGCAAGCTGCTGGGCTTATGACCTAGCTAAGTAACTCTCCGGGACGTCAGTTCAAATCTATGCCTTAGTCAGAAGTCAATGAATGTGCATTAAGAAGTATTAATTAATTCATCTGGAATTCAAAGGTATAGAAATGAACGTCACATGTACAAACATCAAAAGCTGGCTGTACCAACCACAGCTCAGAGCGGAACAGCTAAAGTGTGTTTGCTTTACAAGCCACCACTATAGATAACAATGTGTAGACAGGGCTAAGCTCAGTGCAAGGAAAGGGTAAAGACAAATTATCCGTTTAGGCATATAATCTAATTCCCCTTTGAAAGCACAATGGACAGTTATATTTTTATAGCATCCTTGATCATCCTGCTGATTCCTTTATACACTTCAGAGAATTTAATTCTATCAAACAAAAATACCCCAGTTAAAAAAAAAAAAACTATGAGGAAGAAAGTTTATAACAAACAGGGTCCTTCTTGAGGAGAAAATATAAAGCTTGGACACATTTACAGCTAGGGTTTTCAAAAGTTCATTAATGACTGGAGGACTGGATGAAGAGTACAATAATAAAATTTAAAACTGGTCATCTGAGATGCCACATCTACCAGTAATCTGTATGAAATCAGAATCACTTATATATAAAAACAAAGTACTTAATGCAGAGCCAAAAAGAAAAGAAAACCATTCAGCAAAAATCAATTAATATATACAATCATAACATAAAATATTCAAAAACATTAGGAGAAAACCAAAAAGGAGAACAGTTAGTAAAGTATCAGTTTACTTAATAATATTAGAGTTCACAAAGTACTTGTACTGACATTGTCAGTAGGGACTAGGTGGTTTCTAAAATCACACAATCATATTTCCTTTTCTGTAACTCTAGGAATCAGATGTTGTCACTAACCACAGTTTACTCCTGGTTTTTTGGCACAGCAGGATGTCAGCTCTTACATCCTGCTTATAGTCTCATGTACTCTCTACCACATAGTGTGGACTCCAAAATTAGCATCCTGTCTTGCTTAATATGTAAGACCTGCCCTTATTACCAATCTTGCAAATATATATTTTTTTGTACTTGTCATTTGTCAATTATCTTAATCAAAAGAGATTTTCTGCTGAATAGTGTCTTGCTTTTAAAAGAAACTTCCCCATTTTAAGATTATATATAAACCTATATTTTCCTGTAGTATTTTTGTAGATTCACTGTATCACATTTAATTTTTTAATTCAACTTAATTTTTTCCCAAATTGCTACTATATTTTTACAATAGTTGAATAGTTACCCCTTTTCTAATGATTTGAACTGCCACCTTAAACACTAAAGTCATACTTATTTCAACTACTAGGTACTTTTTTCACATTTTAATAATTTAAAAAATATGTATTTATTTACTTTTGAGAGAGAGAGAGAGAGCGAGAGCACGTGCAAACAGAGGAGGGCCAGAGAGAGGGAGAGAGAGAATCCCAGGCAGGCTCAGCCTGACTTGGGGCTCAATCTCAGGAACCTAGAGTTTGTGACCTGAGCTGAAATCAAGAGTCAGATGCTTAACTGACTGAACCATCCAGGTGCCCCACATTTTAATATTTTTGAAATCAGTTTGCACCCTAATCAATTGCTTGTCATAGTTTAATTGAAATTATTTTTTTTTCTTTCTTGGAACTATAGAAAATGAAGTCTTTCAACCAATGGTACCTTAGAAACAATGAAATATACTCTACTATATACGATAACACTAATATATATGTAACAGATTGGGCATGCATTTAGACTTTCTATTGCATTCCATTGATCTTGCCATCTTTTCTGGCACACATATGATACTTCTAATTATGTTACTTTTACAGCATTATTATTTTTTAATATTTATTTTTGAGAGAGAGCAAGACAGAGCATGAGTTGGGGAGGGGAGACGGAGACACAGAACCCGAAGCAGGCTCCAGGCTCTGAGCTGTCAGCACAGAGCCCGATGTGGGGCTCAAACTCATGAACTGTGAGATCATGACCTGAGCCGAAGTCGGAGGCTCAACCGACTGAGCCACCCAAGCACCCCTTGCAACACTATTTTAATTTCTGATAGACCAAATCTTTTTTTTTTATTCTTTGATTCTTTTTATATGATATTCTTTCAGATGAGTTTTATAAATGTTGGTCAGGAATTCCCCTTCCCTCTGAAAAAAAAAAAAAACCCTATGAGGATATGTATTAAAATTGATATAAATCTAATCTGGGGGAAGTTGACATCTTACAAAATAGATTCTTATCAGGAAATGTTATGTTAGTTCACTTACTAAAGATTTTTAAGTTATTCAGTAGACTATTACAGTTTTCCTCATAAAGACGCTACATATTTCTGGCTAAATTTATTCTTTGCTACTATTATCTATGTTTTTTTTTTCCATTATTATTTTTGAACAGATTTGTCTTGGGATATATTAAAGTTATTTCTCTTTAATAATCTGAAAACCAGGTGGGGCGCCTGGGTGGCTCACAGTTAAGCGTCTGACTTGGACTCAGGTCATGATCTCACAGTTTGTGACTTCAAGCCCCACACTGGGCTCTGTGCCGACATTTCAGAGCCTGGATCTTGCTTCCAATTCTGTGTCTCCCTCTCTCTCTGCCCCTCTCCCACTCACGCTCTGTCTCTTTCTCTCAAAAATAGAAAAAAAGTTAAAAAAA